TCCTTTTTTTTTAAAGATAGGGTCTTAGAAGCCCAGACTCACCTCAGACTCCCTATGTATCTGAGTCTTGATCAGGCCTGCCTTGGCTTCTCAAGTGCTGGGATTACAGGTGTGTGCCACCATGCTTGATTTTTTTTTCTTTTTTAAGACAGTGTTTCACTAAGTAATCCAGACTGGCCTAGAATTTTCAATCCTCCTGTCTCAGCCTAAGGAGTACTAGGAGGTGTGTAAAGATACCTGGGTGCTCAGGAAGGGAGGGAGGGGGGGATTCCAGAATTCTCAGCTCTCTCTACTCAATTTTGCTGAAGGCCTAAAGTTGTGTGAAAAACCAAAGTCAATTTTTAAAAATAATGTTTATTTATTTATTTTTTAATGTATAAGTACTCTATCTGTATATATGTATATTTTGACATGTATGCATGCCAGAAGAGGGCATCAGGCCCCTTTATAGATGGGTGCTAGGAACTGAACTCAGGACCTCTGGGAGAGCAGTCAGTGTTCTTAACCACTGAGCCATCTCACCAGCCCCTAAAGTCAATTAATTTTTAAGAGGTTTGTTTATTTGTTTATGTATGTATGTATGTATGCATGTATGTATGTATATATGTATGTATGTATATGAGTGTTTTGCCTGTGTGTATGTATGTATGTATGTATGTATGTATGTATGTATGTATGTGTATGAGTGTTTTGCCTGTATGTATGTATGCATGTATGTATATGAGTGTTTTGCTTGTGTGTGTGTGTATGTATGTATGTATGTATGTATGTATGTATGTATGGGCCTCACACATGCCTGGTGCCTGTGTAGGCCAGAAGAGGGTATCAGATCCCTGTAGAGAGTCTGAGTCTGTTCCCAGCATCCTCACTGGGCAGGCCACCTGTCACTCTAGCTCTAGGAACCTGGCTTGGTTGATCTTGGCTACCTGAAGACATTGATGGTCTTGGCTGAAGGGGCCTCTTCAGTCACCTCCACGGCCTCCTCATCATCAAAATATTCCTCGTAGATGTCAGTGGCATTGTTCTGTTTGATGCAGTGCTCCATACTCTGAGGAGACACCAAGCCAATAGATCTCAGCAGTGAAGAGAGCTGCCCCCCACCCTAACCCATGTCATTTCTGATGTTCAGCAAGGTCTGGCCCAAGCCCTACACTCTTCCGGTGAGAGGACCTAACTCGCTCCATTTTAGAACAGGCTGCCATGTTAGTCCTTAAGCTTCAGTTTCCCAGAAGGATAGCCTAGGTTTCTTGGGGAAAAAAAAAAAAATGCAGAAAAAGGATAGCCATCAGCAACTGCCCCAACATCTGTCCAGGAGGTTACAACAGATTCAAAAAAGTGTTATAAGATAACCCTCTCTCCCTTGTGGTACAAACCAATCAAAAGTGTACAAATATCTCATACCATAAGCTCAACCAATCCTAAAAAAGGTGACCCAACTGCAACTGGAGAACCCCTAACTGGGGTTAGGGACCTGCTTCCCTCATGGTCGCCATTTTGCTTAGATGGTTGAGCCCCCATGCTGGATATTTCTACAGAATAAATGGTCTTCTTTCAGGGATTCTCAGACCCTTCTACCAGGAGCCTTCTTTAATTCCTTCAGCAGGAATTTCCCTTTAGGGAAAATGAGATTGTCCCTGTCTCTGACAGTGTCTCTTTTAAGAGTATCTGGTGAAGTCAGTGTGTCTGTCTGTCTTGAACTTGTGGAGTGGGTTACAAACTTTTGGGAAGCAGGAGGCATGTGAGACTCAGTTTGCAGCCTCTGCTGTGTCTGACAGAGAATTGAAATTCAGTTCAACGCATGCATGAGCAAGACTGGCTGATTGGTAGGGCTCTTCTAGGGCACCCTTTACCCAAGAGGCTTCCTGTATTATTATTATTGTTGTTGTTGTTGTTGTGTGTGTCTTGGGGTTTATTGGGGGTGGTGACATGCTCACCATTGCGCATGTGTGGAGGTCAGAGGACAACTTACAGGACTGAGCTCTCTCCTACTATCATGAGGGTTCCAGGACTTCAAGTGATCAGTCTTGAGGACCAGAGCCTTTACCCACACAGCCATCTTGCCAGCCCTCTTCCATTTTAGACGCTTCCTAAAAACCCATTTGCCTATAGGCCCTTATGGTCAGCAGTGAGGTTCTGCCTCCCTGGCTGAGAGCTACCCGAGCCTACACGGGGCTACACACAGCCAGCAGAGCACAGTCTGAGCTGGGGTAGAGGTGTGGGACAGCTGGCACAGGGGGGAGGCTAACCGAGCCCAGCTGCATGACGGCATTGATGTAGTTCTCGTCCTTCTCCACTTTCTTCCGGAAGCGGATGGTCTGCTCCAGCTCCTGGGGGTTCACATCCTTGGGCCAGCCCCCCTCGACATGGTTGACCCCACAGTTCTCCATCTCAAACCGTTCAGTGTTGGCCTAAACAGAACCACAGGTGAGAAGGCATTTGTCTCTGGGCTAAGCCATCAGTCATTTCTGCAAACCCTAAGCCCTTAAAGGGGTACTGAAGAAGGGGTGCTCTGACCAAAGTGAGGAGGCCCTATCTGGTCCTCAACAGCACTGCCTCGAAAGTCTTACAGGGGACGATGGCGGTCATGGAAAATCTAGTTTCATCTTTACCTTAAATAGGCCTGGGAGATATCCTGGGAGATACCATATCAACAGTGACTAATCCTCCATCCCTCGGCATTCCCGAGACTGGGACTGAACATCAATTCAGCTCATTCATGTTATGGTCATCAGGATCGTTCGTGCCCATGAGATTGTGAAAAGTGTGTTTTGGCCAAATCAAGTGATACTGGTTGATCCTGGGCAAGGTAAGATGGGTTAGCCCATGTCACATGATTTCCAGTGTGGCTGACAGAATCATGGATTGATCCCTTACTTTGTGGGGACTCAGTGTCCCTGGGGCCCTCAACCCATTCCAATGAGAATCACCTGCGTAATACCTCCTTTTTCTTAACCCCTTCTGGATAGTTCCCTCAGAAGGCCCAAATGCCCAGAATGACTCCAGTAACATCAAAAAGGTCCCAGAACGCTTAGGAGGAACATTTTGGTTCTAGGTATGTTCAATCTTTTTGATATTGCAATATGATCCAACACTATCATCTACAAAGTTCATACTCTGTAAGCACATGGTCAACACACACACACACATACACACACACACACACACTGCTGAACACAGGAAATAGACATAATTTTAAAAAACAGATGTGGGAGATGGAGGCGGGAGGATCACTCTTCTCTTGGCAAGTTCAAAGCCAAGCTGGAACATATGACCACTCAGCCACACACTTAAAAAAAAAAAAACAAAAAAAACGAAAAATCACACATGCAAAAAATTCTCACCAGGCAGTGGTGGCGCATGCCTTTAATCCCAGCACTTGGGAGGCAGAGGCAGGCGGATTTCTGCGTTCGAGGCCAGCCTGGTCTACAGAGTGAGTTCCAGGACAGCCAGGGCTACACAGAGAAACCCTGTCTCGAAAAAAAAAAAATTCTCATAATGCTTTAAGTAGATTCACCAGTTTCTGTCAGACCACATTCACAGCTATCGTCAGCCATATCTGGAGTTGACTAGGCCCAGGAATCCACCCAGCCCTCCTGGGAGATAGCATATTAACACTGAGTAATCTCCGTCCTTCAACATCACAGAGACTGCACATCCATAGCAATTCAGAGCTCGGACTTTGCCTTGTGTGTTCTGTGGGACACACAGAGGTCCGACACACCTGCTCTGGCCCACGAAGAGTTGATGCTGTCTGCTCCTGATCCTGGCACTGGGTGAGTCTTGGGGTGACTTTGCCCACACACCTCCAGCACCTGCTCTCGTCCACTCTACTTAGTTTCCAGGTGAGCCAGTCAGTCTCCCCTCTGACCACCCCGTGCCTTTACGGTGCGGGAACCCACCTCATGTTCCGACATACTGGCGGAACACTGGATGCCTGTGTCCACTGGGTTCCGCTCCACATACAGTGCGGCCAGCTCTGGGTTGGGTGAGATGTCAATGTTCAGCTCAGCCTGGCGGTCTGAGAAGTTGCATTGCTTCCCAAATTCGCTGCGCTTCTTCACGTACACGTAGACGATCTCCATGGCGGCAGTGACAGCGACCGCAGCTGTGGCAGGACGGAGCAGAGTGTCAGACTGGTGAGGGTCCCACCCAGATACTACCTATTTCCTCCGGTCCTACCAGAGGCAGGGCCAGGTTAGTGTATCTCTCCAGAAGCTATACCTATGGTTTTTTTGTTTTGTTTTTATTATCTGTGGGTGTGGCGATGGTTGGGGCTGGAGAAATGGCTCTTGGTTAAGAGCACTGGCTGCTCTTCCAGAGGACCTTGGGATCCCCAGCCCCCACATGGCACATGCTCACAAGCACCTATGACTCCAGGTTCAGGACATCTGACCTCACCCTCTTCTGGCCTCCACAGGTACTGCACATACATGGTGCATAGACATACATACAGGATGCAGGCAACACCCTCCCCCCAACCTCCATACACACAAATAAAATCTTGAAAAAATAATCACATGTCTGTGATCCCAGCACTCTGAAGGCGGGAGCAGGAGAATCAGGAGTTTAGAATCATCCTAGGCTACACGGCAAGTTCAAAGCCATCCTGGGCTATATGAGACCCTGTCTCAAAACACAAAACGTAGAACATAAGACATAAAAGCAAAGCAAACAAATAACGCATGCACTTAAAATCAAAAACCCCTCATCTGAAACCAGGTATGATGGCTCACAATTGTACTCCCAGCCCTTGGAAGATTGAAGCAGGAGGATTGCCCTGAGTTTAAGTCTATCCTATGCTTTGAAAGCAGATTGTGATATGTAGTGGGATCTTGTCTAAAATGGCCTAGAGAGCTGGCTCAGTGGCTAAGAGCACTTGTTGCTCTTACAGAGGACCAGAGTTGGGTTCTCCAGCTGTTTGTTAACTCTAGCTGCAGGGGATCTGGTGCCACCTTCTGGCCTCTGTAAGCAGGTATATGCCACCCCCACCTCACCTCTCTGTCTGTCTGTCTGTCTGTCTCTGTCTGTCTGTCTGTCTGTCTGTCTCTCTCTCTCTTTCTCTCTCTCTCTCTCTCTCTCTCTCTCTCACACACACACACACACACACACAGACACACACACACACACACACAGCTAAATAAATCTGATTTTGAGACAGCTTCTCACTATCTGGCCTGGAACTAATCATGTAGACCAGGCTGCCTTCAAACTTGGAGCTCCCCTTGCCTCTGCGTCTGAGATTAGAGGCATGAGCCACCATGGCCAGAAGAAGAAAATAAGTCTTTAAAGAAACAAAAGAACAAAATTCTCTTCCATCAACAAGAATCGCATAACTCATCCAAATACTGAGTGTAGACTAAGTATAAATTACACGGTTTGGTTCTTGCTCTTACCCTCTGAGGTGGGCAATGAAATCACCATTTTACTTGACGAATTCTCATACCTTTAGGTGACTTGCCAGGAGTCACATAGCTGACACGTGGACCAGCTGGGTTGCCTGGCTTCAAAGCTCTTGCCCATAAAAGTACACACTTTCTACTGAATCAATACACTTTACTGGAGGCAGAAAGCAGTCTTGATGGGTATGACTGTTGAGCTAAATCCACCAGCACGCTCAAGATTTAAACCACATGGGACATGGATGAGAGAGACCCAGATCTCTTGAAAGCCACCAAACTGCTCACACAACTGTTCAGAAGCCTCATTCATCCATCCATGCCGGAGTGCCAGGTCCCTAGGCTTTAAGCCACCTCTGGTAGCCACACAGTCAATCCCTGCCTCAAGGATCACTCACCTACATGCAAGCCACTTTTAGAAGGGACAGAGCCAAGTGGCTTCTTCGACATGTGGGACTGGAAACTCACTGGTTTGTGCTACTTAGCCGCCAGAATCAAGAATGGTGGCCAGCGAGATGGCTCAGCAGGTAAAAGTGCTTGTGGCACAGTCCTCACGACCTGAGTTCAATCCCCGGATGTCAGATGACCAGCTTCCCACCCCCTTCCCCAGTACTAAGTTTCCTAATGTACGGCATCAGAAGGATCAAGGCCCTTTGTTTGGAAGGGAGAGGACTGTCTCCAACAAGTGGTCTTCCAGCCTCCACGTATGTACAGTGTCTTGCACATCCCCCCCCCCCTCTCTCTCTCTAAGTTAAGAAAATAATAATTGTAAGGAAGAGTGTGGCAAGACCCTGGAATCTGGCCCTGCCTTCACCAGCAGTGTGCCCATGGCCCGGTCATTTACTCTTTCCAGAGCTGACCTGCAGCTGCAAAGATTCTGTAAAGGAGTTGGTGTGCAAACACAGTGAGGAAGGGGGGGTCCTTATCAAAGTCCTAAGAATACCTACTGCCTTCCACCTAACATAAAGGGGCCTTGATCCTTCTGACGCCGCACATTAGGAAGCTGGGTACCGGGGAAGGGGGTGGGGAGCTGGCCATCTGGCCACCTGGGGCATTGATTATACTATGGACTATGGACTTCAGCCTGAGCTACAACAAACCCTATCTGGTGTTGAAGAGATGGCTGGGAAGTTAACAGCACGCATTGACTGCTCTTGCAGAGAGGAGTTTGATTCCCAGAACCCACGTGGTAGCTCTCAACCATTTGTAACTCCAGTTCCAGTGGATCTGACATCATCTTCTGACCTCTGAGGGAACCAGACATGCATGCAGGCAAAACATTCATACACATAAGATAAACATTCTAAGAATATTAAAACAACGTAATTTAAAATGAAAAGATCCCATTTCGAAGAGACAGACAGACACACATACAGAGAGGGAAGAGAGGGAAGACAGATAATAGGACCCAAGTATGTACTAAACACAGTGGTGTCTATAATCTCAGCATTGAAAGAGCAGAGGCAGGAGGATCACTGCAAGTTCTAGGCCAGCCTCATCCACAGAATGAGTGTCAGACTAGTTAGAGCTACACAGTGAAACCTAAACTCCAAAAAAGTTTTCAAAATCAATCAGTCAATCAATCAAAATCAGTCAATCAAAGCAAGCATGAATAATGAAGGCAGTGATTCCGGATGCAAAGAGACACGTGATCACACGGGACTGAACCGAAAAGCTCAGGAATAAACCTTCATGCTTATGGTCAGCTAATCTCTGACAACCCACCCAGGGATGCAACAGGGATGGACTGGTGTCTTCAGCAGGTGGTGCTGGGATAATTGGGCACCCCAAGCAAAAGATTGTTAAGAGCCCTGTCCCCTGTACCATATGTAAAAGAAGAGCTCAAGACGGGCAGCAGCTTCAAATGTAAGAAACACTCCATGGCCATTAGGAGTCAGAGTCACAGCTCTGGCTGCCAAGCCCTAAAGCTGAAGGGCTGAGAACTGGGCATATCCATCAAGAAGCAGGTTGCCATGGTGGACGGGAACAGCTGGAACAGGGGTGAGCGAGAAGAGAGGGAGGTGAGGTTAACTTCCCAGGCTCTTGGCAGCCATATATTGCTCCTTGAAGGCAGCATGACCTGCTAGGCATGGCTATAATCCCAGTCCTTGGGAGGTAGAGGCAAAAGGACTGGGAGTTAAGGGCTAGCCTCGGCTGCATAGTTCAAGGCTAGATTGAACAACAGAAGACCCTGTCTCAAAAAGCAAGCAACAAAAACAATAAAAACACGCTTGCAACCATCCCTCAAGCCAACCCAAGTCATACTCTCGGAGAAAGTGGTTTGGAAAGTCTCCCTTATGGCTAGGAGAGACGGCTCAGAGAACAGAGGGGTCAGCAAAGAAGTCGTCTGTGTAAGGGTGTCCCTGTGTCTTCATTCTGTATGGACAGAATTGAGGCCTCGGGGGAAACAATGCAAAGTCAATTAAGTTCTCTCTGCCTTCCACCACAGACCTGGCAGCTGGATGCAGGCAATTAGGGGCTGTCTCTCTCCATCTCCAATTGCTGTGATACAGCTGGTGCCCAAGGACACAGGGACACTTAAGAGAATGAGAAAATTCCAGGAAGAAAACACCAGCCTCTTCAGCCCCCGATCAGATTCTAACAGCTCTGCTTTCTTACTTGGTGTTTCCCGAGGCCAAGCTCTCATGGAGAACGGAGGCATTGTCTTGTGTCTGGAGGCAGACAGAGGGGACATTTAAAGGCTAGCCTGGTGACAGGAAGACACCACATTCAAAGACCAGAGCAGGCTCTTTTCTCACAAGCTAAGAGGGTGCAAAGATAAATGGCTAGGTCAGCCAAGAATGTCACAGCAATCTTTCCCCTCTTTTGGAAAACAAGTGCTCCAGGGTGGGGCTTCCCCAAGGAGGGTCTGGGAAGGGTAACAGGGGATCAGGAATGTTGTTGAATTAGGGGTCTCAGGGGGACATTATCCCTGAGGGAACCTAGGGTCCCAGAAGCATGCAGAATCATAATCTCTCTCACACTTCCTTTCACTCCCTCACCCCACCTACACACACACACACACACACACACACACACACACACACACACACACAGAGAGCTAAATATGGACTCTTAGAACCTTACACATACCAGCCAGTGCTCTACCACTGAGCTATGCTCAGCCCCACTGAATCTCAAATCTAGGGCCACAAAGAACCGTCATAAGCTGATCCAAACATCAAAACATGCGATCCTTTCCTGCATTCTAGCTCAATACAAAAACAAGACTTGCCTCATTCGAGGATAACGAGCAAAGTCGTACCTAAAGAGAACCCTGTGTGGTTGAACAGAAAGCATGGTACACAGCTGGGAGGAAAGGCCAGGAAATAGCAGGAAACAGAGGTGTCAGTGCGGGAAGGGGTCCAGGAGGAGGGTCAGCCTTTGTCCCTCGGGACAGTCTATCTGTGTGCCTGGAATTAATTGAGGAGCCGTATTTGAGGGAGGGATACAGAGAAAAGGGCTCCTGTGTCTTCCCCATGTCTTTGTGAACCTTCTGGACAAAGTTAGGAAAATGGTCTCCTGACCCTAACGTAGATGAAAGGCCGACTCCCAGAGGGAGGGACAAAAGAAAAGGTACATTTACATACAGTACCTGTGCCCAGCCCACAATCTCGTGATCTCCCACTTTATATTCTACATTTTGTTTTGCTTAATTTCACTTTATTTTTAATCGTGTGTGTGTG